ATTGAATAACATCTCCTGTGAATGTCAGTTTCTTTAAGGCTAATACTATTCTTATGTCAGGAATGAGAAAGATATAAAGGTCATTGTATTCTTCATATCTGACAGAAGACTAATGAGAAACACCTATATTCTAACAATTTTTGAATATTAACATTCTTTATACTTTCATGTCTCCATCACTTTTTTTTCTGTTCAATGATGCCATGGAGTCAGAGAATGTCATAATTTTGCTGTTATCTTGTTCTGAAACTCAGAGACAATACCTAGTTTAGAGTCAAAGTTTGAAAGCTCTGGGTCAAACATATATTACCCATTCCTTATCAGAGCCTCTGATTCAAAATGTTGTAGGTAAACATTACACAAATAGGTCTCTAGTGATCATTAGATACATCAGCAGAACTTTCATTGTTATTTCAGTGCCCTGTCACATATCCAATATCCAGTCTGCCTGAAATATCTTCCACTCCCACAAGGAATGACACATCTCATACTGAAAATAATGGAGTAGAATAAGCAGAACATTCTGGAATATTTTGCTGTGATACGGCTTTCTTAAGAGCCTTTGGAAAACCCGTGTTTTGGGTTTGGAAATAGTCACCAGAGAGTAGTATAAATTCACCCACAAATCCAAGATCCTTTATCTTTATCCATGTTATAACTTGAGTTTTCATACTAGGACATGAAAAGATTGATTTACAAAAAATAAAGAATTTCAAGAAAAAAAAAACTTTTAATAACCTTTAGGTCAGAATCTTCTACATCTGAATATTCATTCTGTCTGCTTCCTATCTGCTCTAAAAAGAGCATTGCTCCCATGTTCTTAATGATTTTCCAACATATTTTTGGTAAATAAACTACAATGCAATTCAAAATAAAAATATCACTTAAGCAATGATATTACAGTTTTAAACTCTTTTTATTACATCAGTAAATGATTTATGAATACATATCTCATTTTATCATGGAGTCCAATTTACCAGCACACACAAAAACAAGTTAATATGAAAATTTAAGAAGAATTATTTTGGACTATGGGTCAGTATCGATCATATTATGTGGGGGGCCATTAGTTCAATCTCCAGGACCACATGGATAAATATGGGATTGTACTCTGAAGTGAAATGACCTGAATATGGTTTATGGGTCTGATTCCTCATCGCTATGAACGTGGCATCTAAGTAATAGAGGCAGGTGGATTACTGTTTTGAAGCACTTTTGAACTATATATGTTTTATTTTATATATTCTCTCAAAATCACAAAACTGATGATATAGCTCACTGGGAGAGTTTTACCTGCCAAGGCAAAGCCCTGTATTGAACAGTGGGGCCACGAAATGAAATATAATGCAATCTTCCTTGTACTACAAATAAAAAGCATCAGAAAATTCTAGTAGAAGTTTGAAAATATCAAATCTTCCAGCACTTGAAATGGTGCCACTAGCACTGGCTATCCAGGGATACTGAGAAAAAGAGTCCTGATATGGTAACTTTTCTAATTCCTGGGCACAAAGATCTCTTCTGACCCACCCTGAGGGACTCTGGAAAAGAGAGATACATACTTTTCTTTTTCTTTTTTTTACCTAGGAGACTACTTCCTAGGTAGAACCCAGTAGCACAGACAATAAGAGCAATAATGAATAAATGGGACCTCCTGAAACTGAGAAGCTTCTGTAAAGCAAAGGACACTGTCATTAAGACATAAAAGCAACCTACTGATTGGGAGAAGATCTTCAACAATTCATCAACAGACAAAGGTCTGATCTCCAAAATATACAAAGAACTCAAGAAACTAGACACTAAAACTCAAATTAACCCTACTTAAAAATGGGGTACTGAACTGAACAGAGAATTCTCAACAGAAGAACTTCGAATAGCCAAAAGACACTTAAGGTCATGCTCAACCTCCTTAGCAATCAGGGAAATGCAAATCAAAACAACTTTGAGATACCATCTTATACCTGTCAGAAAAGCTAAACTCAAAAACAACAATGAGCGTGCTGGAGAGATGGCTCAGAGGTTAAGAGAACTGACTGCTCTTCCAAAGGTCCTGAGTTCAATTCCCAGCAACCACATGGTGGCTCACAATCATCTATAATGAAATCTGGTGCCCTCTTCTGGCCTGAAGGCAGACATGGAAGGAATGTTGTGTACATAATAAATAAGTAAATCTGAAGAAAAAAACCACCAATGTTAGCCTATGCTGGAGAGGATGTGGAGTAAGGAAAACACTCATCCATTGTTGATGGGAATGCAAATTTGTGCAGCCACTTTGCATATCAGTGTGGCAGTTTCTCAGGAAACGTCAGGACCCAGCAATTCCACTCTTGAAAATATACTCAAGCGATGCCCTATCATACTATAAAAGCATTTGTTCAACTATATTTATAGCAGCACTATTTGTAATAGCCAGAACCTGGAATCAACCC